GTTTTAATTAATTTCTTATTATTTACACAGCGGAAAAATACTGAAGTCTGGACCTCGGTGTCCTCAATGGTAGCTATGGCCATGGCTGGAGGAGCGCCGTTTGAAATAGACATCCATCCATCCATTATCTATACACTACTTAATTCTCACTGGGGTCGCAGAGGAGCTGGAGTCTATCCCAGCTGACTCAGGACAAAGGCAGGGGACACCCTGGACAGGTCACCAGTCTATCACAGGGCTACACTTAGAGACAGACAACCAAGCACACTCACATTCATACCTACGGACAATTTAGCATCACCAATTGACCTCCACATGTTTTTGACTGTGGGAGGAAGCCGGTGAACCCGGAGAGAACCCACGTGCACGGGGAGAACATGCAAACTCCATGCAGAAACATCCTGGGCATCCTAACTAGGACACAAACCGGGGATCTTCTAGCTGCGAGGCTACGGTGGTAACCACCGAGCCACCTTGCAGCCCCTGCTCTTTCTTATATGACACAAACATGTATCATTTCATAGATATGTTTATATTTATGAAATGACATGTATTAATGATTGCATAGCACAGATGTGAACATTTAGATATTAGCATATTTATGCAGTGACAAGTTCATGGGTAATTCAAATAAGAATCCTGGCTGTGGAGGTGGATGCAGAGCTGTATGCAGGTTGTAACCTTAGATAAAGCCAATGTAAATTCAAGATCATTTTTATCACTAACACTTTGTCACACAGAGAAGCATTGGTGGAAAGGTCAAGTTATACAATTTTTCATTTAACACTTGCAAAACCTCACTGCAGCGAAGACCTGAAGAGCAATGCAGCTGAGCAGAATGTGTGTAAATGTGAAAGAGCGTCAGAGTTTATCGCTGCAGAGGATTAGGAGAGAGCTGATTGGAGGATACATCTCAGGTACAACAGGTGGTTTCAAATAAGAGAAAAATAGGTTGGCACACCTATTGATACAGACACGCACAGAGTGAGCTACAGATAGGATTATAACGTACTCAGCCTGCTTAACAGAGAAGAAATATTCCTGTTGCTGACTGTTCAAAACGGTGTCATGAAACATTTTTAGCTTTGAATGTGTCAAAGACTAACGACACGTGCCTTGATTTTCGACGTTGGCACCCCTCCTGACAGTCCAGCGATCGATGGTCAGAGCATTGAACTAGCTGAGTCCTACTACAACTCTTTATGACCTATACAGACAATAAACTGACATTTGAAAGTAATACTGAAGTGGTGCACAAGGAAAAACAGCAGCATCTCTTTTGTCTCAGGAAATTCTCTACATTCCAGGTACACAGGACTCTAATGACAGTTTGTTACCCTTATTTTATTCAGTCTGTGCTTACGTCAAAAGCAAAAATGTTCCAGGATGCTGGTTACTGTCTGCAGCAAAACAACAGGACAGGTGTGTCTGTTTAGCTTACCAGTCATCCATTTCATGTGAATGCTGGGAGTTTTAGTAGAAAGTAGAAAACTCTTTGTAGGTCTTTGAAGAACCTAAAAAGAGAAGTCCAAGGAACAAGAGACATCATAGTTTCAGAGAGGAGGTCCATCAGAGTCAGACTCCACAAAAGTCATGTACAGAAGTCTAGTTTTTGACAGGGTTTGACAAGAAATCACTCACTCTTGTGCAGATGCATAACTCTACTTGTTAGAAGGCTCTGCTCCATGTATATTAATTAATTGCATACACGCTACTACCCTTGAAGTGAGGTCACTACCAATTTTTAGCACAGACGCTCTCACGTACTTGGGGAGATGACGAAGTTTATGTCAGTTGGATGCTCCTGTACTCATGGTCGCAGAAAGCCCAACACTGGCCTACCGCCTTGTTTCCACATACTTCTGTGTACGTATAAGAATCACTGGGAACCCCATTTAATACTGTTACAGTCGCTGTGATCTCAGATGTGGTTGGGAAACTCCTTCAGTTTTTTCCAATCCAGAATTTGCCTCGAGTAACTCCAAAATCTTTAACTTTTGTTATAGAGACCAGACTGTGCTACTCAGTTGTTTGATTGTGATGACACTCATGCACTTGTGTAATAACAAAATAATGTAGTTTAGCCAGTTCAACACGTACTTGATATGCACACGCGCGCACACACACACACACACACACACACACACACACACACACACACACACACACACACACACACACACACACACACACACTAGCCTCTCTCATATGACTGCTGTGAAGATGCAGTCTATCCTTAAAAACAAACCAAAAAAAATTGCTTTTGTTGAACAGGAGGCACAAAAAAGAAGCTAAGTTATGTGGAAAAGAGGTGTAGTGGTACGTTTTCATAAGGATGTCCGTTATGAGGGATCATTGGTGACTAATTGACGTTTAACCAGGAAGTATCATGACAGGGGTGCCCGCAGGAATTCAACACAGGTTCAAATGCATTGTTCAAGTAAAATTATCTCACATATTTTTATTGTTGTTATCTCATGTCATCTTGTCATCTTCAGCCACTGTAAAACTGCTCTTGCTCACGTCAGCCAACATTTTTTTTCTCCACTCTTGTCAGTAGAAAAACCAAACATTCATACAGCGTCATGATGCAGCACAGCGAACCACGATGGAGACTGTTAACAAGACAACATGGATCATAGGACACAGACAAACTGCTTGACGTGCTCTTCGTTTTTCTGGTATAATTAATGACTTCACTGCAGTAACTAAGTGCATAGTCAAAAGATGAAAAAGACATTTTTTATTTTATTTAACCTTTATTTAACCAGGAAAAACCCATTGAGATTGAAAACCTCTTTTACAAGGGCGTCCTGGCCAAGAGGCAGCAAAAGTTACAATTTAAAAGACATAGGTAAAATTACATACACATTATGAAAAACAATGACAATCCGATAACGCTGTAAGCAGAGTAAACAAAAGCCCTTTTTCCCAGTTCAGCTAAATGGAACAGCGAGCAACAAATTATCATTTGAACGCAAGGAATACGAGTCAACACTTCTCTGTGTGATCATGTTGCAGATGTAGGAGGACAAAAGTCCAAGCATGGCCTTATAAATAAAAGTGTACCAGTGAACCAACCTACAAACATACAAACATATGTTTGTATGTGTATAACTATATGTTCAATGTGTCCTGTCTGGATGTGACATGTTTTAATTTACTATTTTTAACAACAGATTTCTGCACATGCAAAAGAACGGAGCATAAAGTTGCTATGAATTTGTATATTGTGTATCAGTTATCAGAGCATAGATACTGAAGAACTGTAAACAAAGATAATTTTAATTCCACTTATTTACAATGAGTTCCTCAGACATCACATTTATCATAGTGCTGCTGCTGCTGCTGGTCTGTTGATCCATTAACAGCTGTCAGTCTTCTTCTTTCCAATCTGAAAGTCATTAAGCTCACATTAGCTTTGAAATTACTTCAGTTTCTTATATCCTGAATTACAAAGGTATTACTGAAACTACAACTACTTCTGTGTAAACGTCTACGTTTTTAAACATTTCTTCCTTTTCCTTTCCTATGTCACTAAACATCAGCATGTGATTGCTCTTGACTGAAACACAAGCTTCAGTAAGCAGCAGTGTGCTCCTTAACCATGTGAAGTTCTTTTTCAAGGGCTCTGCTGCCTCCTTCAGCATGAAGACTCTGGCTGCACTTAAATAAAGGAACACCACACACAATTTTCATATAAGACTTCAAACTTTATTCTTTCTATATTCAGTTCTCTGACTTTACAATAATAAAGTGCAATGTGTAAGTTTTTGCAAAGTGCAGTTTACTTCTGTAGTTTGAAGTAAGGTTTTCAATGAGGGACTAGTGATTGTAGAAATGGTATATTTACCCTCTAGACTCCATCAGTGCTTCATAAGAGGAGAGAAGAACCAGCATTAGATGAGTTAACTAGTCCTTAATGGGAGCAGTTGTCACCTTGAGCAGTGAGCTCAGATCCTCACATGTCCAGCAGAGGGCGCAACAGGACCAGGACGCGTGAGGAGAGAGAGCGGCTGATGGAGCGAGGGAAGACGGGAGTCAGTTCTCCTCACAGACGCACCTTCTCATCCTGACTCCCCTGCTATGCACCTGCAGCCTCTCCTTGCAGCGCTCCTCTTCCTCCGCCTACTCCTCCTCCTCCTTCCGCCGTCCTCCTCCCCGGCGGTCGGACGGCGGTAGTGCGCACTGAGGAGCGGTAGTGCGCAAAGCGGCCGGCATGCACCTGGAGAGAAACCGCCCCGCCAAGCCGGCCAAGGGCTCAGCCCGAGACGCAGCAGCAGCAGCAGCAGCATGCAGCCTGACGCTCTAACAGCAGGGATCTAGCAGCAGAGCACCGGGGGGGAGACGGAGCTGCAGCATGGGCGTGGGAGAGAGGCGCAACCCCAGCGACAGCGATGTAAATCCACGGACATAGGAAGGGTGGGTGGGGGGTAGCGTTTGGATCAGAGTTGTCCCGGGTGTATTTTGGGGTTTGGTTTGGTGTCTTGCTCTTACAAATTCACCAAACCCAGTACTTTTTTTCCCTCCTCCTGTAAAACATCCACTGGAGTTGAAAGGATGGAGAAAGGCGCCCAGCAGCAGCTGTCCAAAAGTGCAGAGAGTCCGGCGGAGGACATCTCCAAAATCCCTGACGAGGAGCTGCTGAAGTGGGGAAAAGAGGAGCTGGTGCGGCGGCTGCGGAGGGCAGAGGCGGAGAAGAGGGGCGTCATCGTGGAGCACGGAAATCTGATGCGGGAGGTGAACAGGAGGCTCCAGCAGCACCTGAACGAGATCCGGAGTTTGAAGGTGAGATGGGTGGGGGGGCCCCGGGGAGCCAGGTTTGGAGCAGGGCCCCTGGGGGCCGACAGCGGAGTGTGGGATATAATTAGAAAGCTGACTGTGATTTATGCATAATCTAGAGGAGAGAAAACCTTCTGAGATAGTCATTTAACAGACTGTGCTTTAAGGTCATAATGGTCACTGGACATCAGGAACAGACATTAATTAAACCTGTTGCATATAAACGGGTGAATGGATTTATAAATTAGTATCTTCATTGTATGTAAAAATAGATAAGTTATTCATCTTTTATGTGTAATACTATGGACTATATTGTGACCTAACATATCAAAATGATGGAGTTTCTCCCTCACACAAAGACATTTGCTGGTTCCATCAGACAGACCATAGAACACAATGCAGTTTAACACATTAGAGATCATTGGGCTGCAGTCCATGATCACCTCAGAGCTGGAAATATTACTCAAGTAATCAATTAACTGAAAATGAATTGGCCTTTTTTCCCCCCTCTCCATTAATTGGTTAACATTTTTATCCAGAAATTTGCTTGCCAACCCAGTACAAGGATTTGATTTGCTTTTTTTTTTTCTTTTTTGGCTTTTGGTTAGATATTTGAGGATGCCAACCTGAGCTCCAGGGCGCTGTGATGGATATTTAGATTTTTTGACATTTTGTACATTTAACGTCTAATCAATAAATGGAGAATAAATTAGCCAACTAACTGATAGTGACAGTACACATTAATTGTAGCTCCAGTTTCATTATTGGCTAATCTGATGGTTGTGCTCTTGATAAACTGTTTCATCCTTTTGCCTATAAATCAATGGACACTTATGAAATGCCCATCACTGTTTTTCTCTGATGAGTTGTTTTGTTGTAACCACGCCTGAAAGCATTGACTTTATGCTCATGTTACAATAAAAAAAAAAGAAATTTCAGAAGCTGGAAGTGTTTGCAATTTTTGCTTGACATGTAGAAAAATGAGGCTGCAAGGTGGCTCGGTGGTTAGCACCGTTGCCTCGTAGCTAGAAGATTCCCGGTTCGTGTCCCAGTTAGGATGCCCGGGATCTTTCTGCATGGAGTTTTGATGTGTAATTGGTGATTCTAAGTTGTCCGTGGGTCTGTAGGAATGTGAGTGTGCTTTGTTGTTTGTCTGTAAGTGTAGCCCTGCGATAGACTGGCGATCTGTCCAGGGTGTCTCCTGCCTTCACCCTGAGTCGGTTAGGACAGACTCCAGCCCCCACGTGACCCTAGTGAGGATTAAGTAGGGCATAGATAATGGATGGATGGATGTAACAAAAACATTTAATAGACTATAAAACTATTGGAATATGATAAAGAAGCACCTTCTCGTGGAACAGTTCTCATTCATCAAATGATCACATGGATGTGCATGTAATCCTTCCCTGTGCTGCTCTGTGTGTGTATGTAAACCAGGACGTGAACCAGAAACTACAGGAGGACAACCAGGAGCTGCGGGACCTGTGCTGCTTCCTGGATGACGACCGGCAGAAGGGGAAGCGGGTGTCGCGGGAGTGGCAGCGTCTGGGTCGCTACAGTGCCGGCCTGATGAGGAAGGAGGTGGCCATCTACCTGCAGAAGCTGAAGGAGCTGGAGCAGCGGCAGGTGGAGGTCATCCGGGAGAATCTGGAGCTCAAGGAGGTATGCCTCATGCTGGAGGACGAGAGGGCTGCGGCTGCAGGAGGAGGGGGAGGTGGTGTGGGTGGGCAGGGAGGCCCTGGCTGCAGGACCTCCATAGACAGTCAGAGTAGTCTGTCTCAGCTGGGTGGAGGCGCGCCTGCGCCTGGCCTGCTGCGGGACGTTGGCGATGGGAGCAGCACCTCCAGTGCAGGGAGCACAGACAGCCCTGATAACCCCCACCACAAACCCCCTCCCCTGGGCTCTAATGCCAGCCCTGGGTCTGGATCGAGATTCATCTCTTCAGAGCAGCCGAGAGACGTGTGTGAATCCACCGGCAGGAGGCACAGCTCCACCCCAGAGTATCACACCTTCCCCCAGTCCTGCCGCCCCCGCGGTGGCTCCCTCACCAACCTGGACCCCCGCGGCCTTCGAGGACACAGCCCCGAGAAACACAGCAAGTCTCCCACCAAGTTACCATGCGACTCCCACCCCAAACCCTGTAGCTCTGATCTACTAGCCCAGAAACAGCTACTGATGTCAGGGCAGGCATCACCAGGGAAGGGCTCTGCGAAGTCCAGCCCAGAACTGAGTCAGAGACACCGGCAGGTGAACACAGCAGGGGCAGGCTGTGGGAGTCCTGAGGCCAAGCAGGCAGTCATGGGAACCCCAGAGTATCTGAGGAAAGGCCGAGTGATTGTGGGCAGTCCAGAGTCCATACGGCATCACCATCACTATCAGCAAAGCCCTGGGCTGGAGCATGGCAAGGGGAGGTATAGCAGTGGCTCCCCTGGCAGGGACAGAGGTCAGAGGAGGGCAGCGGGAGAGGAGATGGCCCCCCACCACCAGAGTCTGTACAACGGTAGGCACATGGTAACGCTTATCTTGTATTTTGATTCATAACACATTTAACAAGCACTATAGCACGCTTGCAGAAAGTTACACCAAGAATGTTGGATGAAAAATATCTAAATGAGTTGGTGTCATTTCACTTTGCAACGATGGATATGAAGCCATAGAATGTTAGAAGTGAATTTATCTTGTGCATTATTTGGCAAGTGCAACTCAAGTGTTGATGAAGTCTCATCTCAAACTGATAAGATAAAACTTTATTGATCCCTTTGGTAGAGTACCTCAGGGACATTGTGTGATCGTCACATATCCAACACTCCTAGGACAAATAGAAGTACACTCCTTCTAGCTTCTAGTGCTTTTTAATGCTTTTCACAGTTGTCATCAGTGAAAGAAGTTTGCACAGTTCTTCCTATATAGGTGAAGATGTGTCCCAAAGACTGAATTACGAACTGGGTAAAATGGTCCTCTGACCCCGAAGGAGGTTCACAATTTATCTCATCTCTGCTTAATATGGCCATGTGATTAGTTGCAAATACATTAAGTCAATTGTACCACTGATGCACAATATTGACTAATATGAAATGGCTTCTGCCCTGGTGCTTTTTCAAAGGACAATTATTCCTGATGCCAAGCCTTTTTTGGCATTTAATAGTTCGACTGGCAATGTATAGCAGATATTCATAATTCAGATTCAGATGTCCACTATGTCATTTTTTTAAGGACAAACAACATCACTGTTGCCATTCTGTTGCTCCTTACATATATGTATATTTCAGCTGCAGTTATCTGCAATGTGAATAGTAGAAAACTGCATTATGACTGAATTATGACTAGTTGTAATTCCGGTTTCAGATATCTGCAGTTGAATCCTGGCTATCCATAATTCCAGTTCAAGATAACCAATTCTACATTGTAATTCAAAATATCTAGATTGTCCATTTTAGATATCTTAAATTAAGTAGTTACTTGTCAAAATGACGTTGTAGATATCACAGCCTGGAATTCAGACTAGTTAAAATATAATTACAGATCTTAAAACAGTTTTAACTAGGTGGATGATGTTGCAGATAACTGCAGTTATGACAGAAACTACAGCAAACAAAGTAGCTTGTTTTTCAAAAATTGAATATGGAGGTTTTGTTGGCTGTTTCACAACATTTTTTCAACAATCTTATCCACCACAGCCACCATCACTGCTCCTAACACTGTTCAGATTCATTGCTGGATCGATATCCAGTAGGAAGCCTTACATAGTCTTGTATCATCCCGTCCAGCTATTCAGACGAGTCACACTGACTTTTTGACATCTGCAACTATTGTTTGGACTGAACTGAATAACAGAGACCTCTCTCTTATCAGAATGATTGATGTATATCTAAAAGACAAATAAAACTTGTTAAAATTACATATACATGAGCGTGTATTTCCAGACAGTGAAACTCAGCCTTTAAATGTTAAAACGTTTTGCCATAATTTCTCCCCCAGACATAAAACCACCTGTTATCATGTACGTAAAGTTTAAAAGGTCACATGATGACATCTGAACTGTTTCCATGGAGGATGAGGAAAATCCTGATGAAGACCATGAGCGGTAGTTAAAGGCTCTGGAAAAAGCTAGTGAGTGGATGAAGAATTAAGATTATCTGACATGGTTCTGAAATCTCACAGTCCACTTTATAAACAGGATTTCTGTACGCAATAACACAGATGGGCGATTTGTGCTTATTTCTGTTGTGATCTTCACTTGATTCAAACTTCTTTGTGTGGAGCCACAGTACTGGATGACAAGGAAACACAAAGTTAAGTTCACCCACACAAAGTGTCAAGGATCCATCTAATCTTTAACCCACCTTAGGAACCAGCTACACACACACACACACACACACACACACACACACACGGAGAGCACATGTGTATCACTGGCTGTGGCCTCAGTCAGAGCGAGGGAGACTTACTCGTGTGTGTTTGTAAGCAGGGTAACATGGCTGATGTAACTCTCTCGGGTGCTTGGGTTACATAGGTACACTCGAGGTGCTGCCACACACACACGTACACTTCTTTGAGAAACAGACATGAAAGCAGGAAAGAGGAGGATGGAGACAGTATTCGCACGTGTATTGACGGGTGCGGGGGAGTTAACCATGTGTGCTCATACAGTACAGTGTGCATACAGGCCAGCCAAGCGTGTGTGGCAGAGCTGTGTTAGTCTCAGAGCTGTCTGTCCACTCTGTGTATGAGCTCACATCTGACAGCTGCTCAACTCTTCTGAAATGTTCACATCGATTTTTTTTCCTCCACATGCATACTAAAGACTTCTTTATTTTAGACAGCAAAGACCTCATGTTGTGCTTTGACTTAGCAGAGCTGAGGTGAAATACATTTGTTTGGCTTTTAAGCTCGATTTAATTTGGCTGCCATTAGATATTCCAAAGCCGGTCCCTTGTGGCACTTCAGCTATAGTTGTTTCTCTGTGTTTATGTGTTTGTGAGCGGTGACTCTTGTGAGTGTGAGGAGTGCATCCCGGGACACAGTGAAGGGTAAAACCCCTTTAACTCACTTCACCCTTCTGTTGAGCTGGGAAACAGAATTTAATTTTAGGTCAGTTTAGTGCTCCTGTGATCACACCGGAGATTGGTTTGAAAAAGGCTGTTAATATAGAAGCAGCACTCACTTGTGTTCCTGTGTACATGCAATGTCTTTTGTGTGTGACCATCGGTTGTACATATGTAATGTGTTTTATCGTGCTTAGAGAAACGATTACAATGCAGAACCCTGGAGCCCTGCATAAATTCAGTATGCACTCATACATTAGCTGCTGGCTGTACTGTTTGACTGTACATCCACATAACAGGAGGCTGCGGTGGGACAGTGGCCAAGAGAGCTCTGCATATCGCATCTTAAGAAAACACATGCTGAAAGACAAATCATATTCAAACAGAGATAACATCTTCATCAATTTGACAACGCACATATTGTAAATACTCATAACATAAGCAGACAAACCGCTTACAAATACAACACAACAAAAATGATATATTATTTTAATATGGTGATCATATTCTGATATTGTTGCAGATATCTGCTGTTAACCTAACCTTTGCCTTTAGCTTATTATTAGCCTGCCAATACAAATAACTTTACAAAGTACACACAGTTAATTGTGCAACACTGGACTTCCATTATGCTGCCTGGTTGTAGTTTTAATTGTAACTAGGACTGCCACTAAATACTATTTTTCTATCGGTTAACTATTTTAACAGTTAGTTGATTAATATAAACAGCTCTTTTTTTCCTAAGAAAGCAAAATGACACTTAAGTTTGCGTAATGGTGACAAACTGTACATTAATGTATAAGTCACCATGGAACAAAAGTGAAAATCAGTTTTCCATATTAAACTGTGAGTTAAACTGAAAATATCAACATAATAAAAGTGAATGCAAAAGAGGGCTTTTTATTTAGGTTTGTCGTGCAGCTCAAAAAAGAAACCAAGTTTCTTTTAAAAAAGGGAAAAAGTCCATCGTGTAGATTAAACAAAGTGCAAAGTGGATAGTTCAGAGCTAAAATAACTTCTTTCCCCCCTATTGTGTAATTGTTCTCTTTCTTTGGTGGGAGCTTCAATTCAGTTCAGGTATTCAGCTGTATTAACATATATGTGAGCACAGAGAGCAGGAGAGAAGCAAACTGATGTCAAGTGCCTCCTGTGTGTTTTCTCTTCAGGTGTTCCTGTTTGAGGTGTTGAGGTGTCTGCCATGAAAACTCTCCCCTAGCAGGCTTTAAAGAGAGCAAACTAGGGCGTTCTAATGTCAGATTTGTCCAAGATGAAACGGAAGGATTTGTTCTCGTGCAGTCTTTTATATGAGCGGAATAGACAGCGCACATAGGTGCGCTACGTTTTTCCTGAGAAGACCACATTTCTCAGTGTAAATACCGCAGTATACCGACGTTATAAAAGTGCTGTTTTCCATCAGTGGGGTGCTGCTGGTGGGACATAATTGTAGCGGCTTTCAGTGTGCAACAGTGTGTGTGAAACGTCTCTGTGTCCTGGGACTCGTTCCAATACATCCGTGATCGGACCAGAGACGTCCTGGTGAAAAACAAATCACCGCTTGTGTGTCCCATTCATCGGTCTCGGTGGTCACGATAACCCCGCCTCCATCCCCTGATGTACTCGGTTCTTAGCTCTGGCTCAGCAAAGAGTTGGTGCCTGAAAAACACCAGTTTTGAGAACCTGGAGCCGGTGCTTCGGCAGTGGAAACACAAAGAACTGATGCTAAGTCAGGCACCGGCTCTGAAACAGCACAGTATCAGTTTGGTGGAAAAGAGGTATGTGTAGCTTCTCTTAGTCACTCTGATCTCACTCCCGCGACGAATAAAACGGCTTGAAGTTGATGAAAAATTACTCCAGATTAGGGCTGCAATGTCTAAGACAGAACTGTGACAGATGTGCACCAACCTTTGTTGATGTGAAAACATATTCCGCCACCCTTTGATTTCCCCGACAGCGTCATGACGCGTTTTGGAGAGAAAAGCCGGGCAGGTGAAGTCTGGCATCAGGTACGGCTTCACTGAGCCAGGTTTCAGTGAAGCAAAGGGTCATAGAACGAGTAAAGTCCTTACTGGATCCATTCAGGACGAGAAGCAGCTCGTTCATTTAGTTGGGCAGGGAGCAGAGGTTCTCCAGGTGAATGGATGGGATTGGTGTTCAGAGGTCACGCTTACGGATTTTAATGAGCGCGTTGGCCCGCTTGCCCTGTCTGTGTCTTCTCCACATCCCGGACAGAGCTGCTGCTCCTCCAACTAAAATCTCAATAAAACTCTCTGGACTTGAGCAACAAGCAGGAAATCTGTCCGTAGAGGTGTCTCTGATGTTGAGCAGCTCCTGTCTGCTGTCAGTTAACGGACTCAGATGACCAAACACAGAGAAATTAAAGAAAAACAAACTAATTCCCAGGGAGTGCAGTGCCGAGGCTGCCATCTGCGGCGCCATGTTACTCATTCTACAAACT